GGCCATCTCGGAAGGTGTGTACAACATCAACTCGCGTATTCACACCACCACCTTCCTTGTCTTTGCCACTTTCCAGCACTATTGCTACTGACCTGCATATTCTCATTGGCTTCTTTTCGTTCGTGGTAAAAAAAAAAAAAAAGCAATAAAGGAAATAGTAAAATGTAAATGTAATTATATTCCTTAAATCTTCATTTTGACGGACGCTAGCGGGTGCTTAATGCATCCGCATCTTCTGTTACATATGATATAATGTGTACTCTTGAATTCCCTTGATATCCAAGGCTAGCCAACACCTGCAGTCAATGGAGTAGAACTTGGAGAACTCTGACCAATCCTCCTCAAACTAAACGCCCGATTGCATCTTGGAAGCTCAAGAGTTAGAAATTTTTTTTATTGTAATGGAAATACAAATGGTACATCACGTGTTTTAATATAAGTGGTGGAAAATTTTATTTTTGATGTTATTAACTATTTAGCACACATATCCCACAATTTGTATAGTAACACGTAGTCTACCATCTCGTGTACCGGTCACACTGAAAAATCTCTCCAAGATATAACAGACTTGATCATTGTTCTCCATTTTTCTTCACAAAGTCCCCTGGAAAATTTCAGCTTTAACAGAACATGCATATATATCTTTATATGGGCAAGAAGTGATAATTTGCACGTGATAAAGGTTGTAAGTCCCTATTTACCATAAATTGGTGATGCAAAATGTCAACAAATAAAAGTTAATTCAATTTTTATTCATTTATAAGATATTTTTAAACTTCATCTTATTTAAGGATTAAAATCTAGTTTTTATTAGGATTTTTCACCACATAATTCAGAAGTGCAACCGATGAAAATGTTTGCCGATTAGTTACAGAAGCCAAGGTTGAACTCATGGACGGAGGCACATAGAGGACAGCTTTCTTTGATGCAAAGATAATGGGGATATCGTTTCAGTCTACTTGCATGCATGTGAATAACGTTTTATGGTTATTTTGATATTATATTTTGCCCACATAAAGTTATGCATGATTTTTTCTGTCCAACGCTACATGTCGATCATCAATCAAGAAGATAGCCTACGGGAGGACAACTTTCCGATTGCTTGAACCAAGCACTTCGTCCGACAACTTTCTGACGAAAATCCTCAAAGAGTATGTCTGCTCAGACGTTAACTCTGCACTACGTGTCAATCATCAACATGAAAAATAGCCTACGATATGACGTGGCGAGCAACTACAAAGAACAATCGGTCTGACAAATTTCCGATCACTTGAACCGAGCGTTTCGTCCAACAGGTTTCTGACGTAAAACCCCAAAGAGTAGGCATGCTCAAACGTCAACTTTGCACCACGTGTTGAATGCTGATCACCCACATGGAAGATAGTTTGCGGCGGACCCTTACCTACAACCCACCTACCAATTGCAGCAGCCCAAGAATGGTCCCTGCAAATAACGTCCGCGGCCACAAGCAATTCCACCCGACTCTTGAGCACTCGCAACAACGGGTCCCGAATCTCTTCTACCAAAATAGGGTCGGCCCAGGCTCAATGTGGGTAGGACAATCGTTTGGGGTTCAAAAAAATTGAGGGCACCAAAATTATTAAGACGATATATTTATGTATATTTTTATAAGAGTATAAATTTATAAAATTTGGTTCAATGACACAGAAATTTAACTAGAAGTGGTGGTTTTGTCATTTGAAAATAATAAGGAGGTCTTGGGTTCAAAACACTAGCTGTGCTTATTTACTTTCTAATTTTTACAAATTTCTTTTCATAAGAATATAAATTTATAAAATTTGGTTAAAGGATCAAGAAGTTTAATTAGAAGCAATGATTTTTGTTGTTTAAAATTAACGAGAGGTCCTAAGTTCGAAATGCTATGTGCATGTTGATTCTTTTCAAATTTTACAAATTTTTGTTTGGTTGTTAATATATTTTTAGTTACTAGCTAGTAGTTATGTGGGTTGTTATTTTTAAATATTTGTTTCAATTTAAGTATAATCTTCAACAAAGAGTAATACGTTGACCAATTTTTGCAGCAAATTTGCAAATCATATGACGTGTCATCAAAAAGTTTAATTCAGTGCCCATTCATTAATAATACATATGAATAAAAGAATTGAAAACATCATTATTTTTTTAATCCCATATTGACAAGGTTAGTAAATAAGAAAAAACACCTCACGATTTATACAAAAACACTTTCAAAGTTTAGATGGAAAACAAAACTCATCATCTATCTACTTGTAAGCCTGGAGTTTTTTGGTTTCTTTCTCTCGATACAAAATAAATTAATCTTCTGTGTTTCTAAATTATTGAGTTTGAAGTGCTTTTATAAGTATAATTTTATCGATGACTTACGTATGAAAATAAATAATTTTCTTATATAAAGTTAGGGCACTATTTTTGGCGTCGTTTTTGGCCTAAAAAATCTTTGGACCAGCCATGTACCAAAGCCACCAAATCAAATTATCCAGACCCTTAAAATTTGATTCAAATGCTAAAATTATTATAACTTTTAAAGGGACCTCTATTTTTAACTGTTGGATCAAATTTCAAAGATCTAAATAACTTAATTTAATGGTTTTGATGAAAGAGATATCTTTCCCGTAACAGCTACAATAAATTAACAAAAGCAAAAGATCTAGTCCTCCGTGGCTCCAACTCAGTCTAAACGACAAAGACCTAGATTCAGAACTTGTTCCCGCGTCGTTCAATTATTTGCTGAATATTCATTTCCCCCCCCGGGGGCCCGTTCTTATCTACGATTCCCGTACGTCGTCGTTTTTTGATCATTGAGATTGGTGGACCGACCCATGGATATGATTGAGCATAGCAAATGAATATCTTCATCATTCCGAATTTCCAAAGTGTTAATTAAATCTCTAGTCGAAATCTAATAAAACATTTGTTTGTCGCAAAAGAATTATAACACCAAATGATTTGAGTTTAGGATACGATCAGAGATGGTAATGATTTCCATTTCATTCTAGCGATATTTCAATCAAATATAAATTCAAAAAAAAAAAAAAAGCCAAATATAAATGTGAAGGAAAAACATTAATGTATTAGTCAATTTGGTTACACCTAAGTTTATAAATAATACATCATTTTTTTAATACAAACATACATTTCTCTCAAGTGTTATTTCTTTTACGTCTAGTAGTAAGAGAAATAACACTTAAAAGAAATGTAATCAAATTTGGACGAGTTAGGAATTGTAGTTCTTAGTATTGATTAGTTACTATCCTAGTGGTTAGGGAGAATTCTAGACCCCTTTCTCACACAACTCGTCCTGAGTTTGACTCCTTATACTGGTGAATCACCTGATGATGGTTAAAGGGGCTGAAATACCTCTGTGAGTCTTTCCTATCTCTAAAAAGATAGATTGCCACGACTTAACTACCTATTGATCCCCTTTTTAAACTTTTTACATAAATGAGTAGCTTCTGAACTCAAAAGTGACCATTGTAACACAAATAATGGTTTTAATTTAGTTAAGTTCTTGATAACATTTTTTTTAGTAAAAGAAATAAAATAAGCAGTTGAAATTAACGTGATTATATTGGTGAAAACTTAGTTTGGTTTAACCTTCTTTTTTTTTGTTGCATGTAACACTAACTGGAGTGACTTTTCAGTAGGAACACGAAGTAATACCCCATATATAATTACACAATTTGAGAGACACTTAAAAAAAATTTCACTAATTGTATGATGTGGCGTAATGTCACATCCCAGCCTGGGTCCCCATCACATCCCTGGCTCGGCTCGACTCCACCATAGCACGATATTGTCTGCTTTGGGTCCCGACCACGCCCTCACGGTTTTGTTTCTGGGAACTCAAAACTCAGACGAGAACTTCCCAGTAGGTCACCCATCCTAGGATTGCTATCGCATGAACTCGCTTAACTTTCGAGTTCCTATGAAACTCAAAGCCAATGAGCTACTAAAAGATCTCGTGCTAGGTAGAATATAATAAATCCTTTTAATGTTTAAATCTTGCGTATATATAAAGCCCACGACATACTATCACATGAAATTTCACCGCACCATCATCACATCTTAAACTTCGGACCAATTTCTGACGACATATTCTACACGCTTCAATGTGTGCAACGTATTTTGGAAAAAAAAAAAAAATGTATGTAACGTATTATATATAGATGCTAAGTTTTCAAATTATAAAGAGAAAAAGGAAAAAAGATGATTTTTTTTTATTTTTTTTGCTCTAGAAAAGGTGAAACTTTTATAATACTTAATTATTTTTTTCATTAAAATTTCAAAAAAATAAAAAATCTAAAAAAAACCTACGTTTTTGCAAATATATTTTAATAAAAAAAAACAATAATATCTTATGTAAACAAATAAACACAAAGTAAAAACAATAAAAAATTAAGAAAAAATAATAACAATGATCCCTCAACTTTAACTTAATTGGAGCAATGATCTCTCAATTAAAAATCTATGATCATTGGTCCCTTAATTCATCAAAATGTGCAGCTATGGTCATTTTTGTAAATTCTGTTCAAACTTCCATGAAAATAAGTCACATGTTAGTCATATGTGATTGAATCAAGGGATAAATATAGAAAACCAAATGAAAAAAATTATAGCAATACTCTTTCAACTATAACCCAATTAGAGAAATGATTCCTCAACTTTAACTCAATTGTAGCAATAGTTCTTCCAACATGAGTCATGTTGACGGAGTTGATGAAAATAATCATAACTACATGTTTTGATGAGTTAAGAAACTAATTATCATAAATTTTTAGTTAAGAAAATATTGCTCCAATTGGATTGGAATTGAGCGATTATTGTTGCAATTTTTTTAAAATACTAATTGGCACACGCGTCCTGGTTTTCTAATTAGCAAAAATAAGAGTGCGCAGACTGATTATTTCATACGTGGCAAAATATTACTGAACAGATTCTCTAAAATTCCTCGATATTTATTACAAACCACAACCGCCAATAACGGCTATAAATACTAAACAGAAACCGACGCTCTTCCCTCCCTCCCTCTTTCCAAACTCTCCTCCCCCTCTTCTGGTGTTTCAGCTCCTCCAACTCTCGACCGTTCGATCATTCGGCATTAGAGGTTGCATGGATCATGAAAATGGAGTTGTGGCGGTGGAGATGTTACCCAAGGATTTCGATCCGACGGCTGTGGTTACGGAGCCTCTGCCTCCGGTCGTAACCAGCACCTGCCGACTGCGATCTCATTGGAAAATTGGCTGAGGACCACAAAGGAACCCGGGAGAAACAGATGGTGCTCGGCCGAAACGTGCACACCACTTGCCTCGCCGTGACGGAGCCTGAACCCAACGACGAGTTGACGGGCGATAAGGACGCCTACATGGCCAGCGTCCTCGCTCGCTACCGCAAAACCCTCGTCGAGAGGACCAAGCACCATCTCGGTAAGCATCATTTGTGTGATTTGTCGATTTAAATTTTAAATGAAAGCGAAAATCTTGAATCTGAATGGTGGGTTTTGGTTGGGATTGGAAATGAAGGTTATCCGTACAATTTGGACTTCGACTATGGTGCTCTGGCGCAGCTTCAGCATTTCTCCATCAACAATTTGGGTGATCCGTTTATCGAGAGCAACTATGGTGTGCATTCGAGGCAGTTCGAGGTCGGTGTTCTCGATTGGTTTGCTCGGTTGTGGGAGATTGAGAAGAATGAGTATTGGGGGTATATCACCAATTGCGGCACGGAAGGCAATCTTCATGGAGTCTTAGTTGGGTATGTTAAGTGTTTAATTAATTGTTTGTGTGAATCTGCTCTTAATTTATTTGCACACTAATCTAATGACAAAGCTGAAGCAGTTGGATGTGATATACAATGCAATTGAATTCTTGCAGGAGAGAAGTATTTCCAGATGGGATTCTGTATGCCTCTCGAGAATCGCATTATTCAATATTTAAAGCGGCCAGAATGTATAGAATGGAATGTGAAAAGATTGATTGTCTGATCTCTGGTGAGATTGATTGTGCGGATTTTAAAACTAAACTTCTGGCTCACCAGGATAAACCGGCCATCATCAACGTTAATATAGGTATGTGTAAGAGTTGAGACACACATTGACACAAATTGAACTCAACCGTATATATGTGCGCACATTTGTGACTCTGGTTTGTTGGTTGGTTGATTTATTGGGTTGCTTGATTTGCAGGAACAACTGTCAAAGGAGCTGTTGACGACTTGGATCTTGTCATAAAGACCCTTGAAGAATGTGGCTTCAAGCAAGATCGTTTCTACATCCATTGCGATGGAGCATTATTTGGACTTATGATGCCTTTTGTCAAACTTGTATGTCATCTCATTTCAACTCTTGTTGTTGTAGATAGGAACATATCTCTTAGGCCTTATTCCCATTAATTCCTTTGGTTCCACACTGTTTGGTGTTTCGTACATTGCAATTTTTGTTGGGGATGTTTTGGTTGCTAATAATTTACGCTCATGAAAGCATGCTCATCCGATTGATCTGCTCTCAGCAATTGAGAATGAGTTGGCTCTAATAGTTGATCTTGACAGTTTATAATCCTTTTTCATAGTTTGGCTAGTTGAATGACACTGATATCTTTGATTGGGTAGGATGGATTAATATTTGCAGTCTACTTTTACTGAATTGTCTTGTGACTTCGAAGATTATTGTTTTTATAAGTTTGTTTCCAACTCGGTTAGTGTATGATGAGATTAGAGTCCGCTTGTATTCAAAAAGCTAGTTTGATATAGCTGTGGTAATATTTTCTTTTGCTTCCTCAATATGATATGCGCATATTTTCTGTTCTGGATCAATGCTTCCCCGTTTCTCATATGCTTGGTGATGAGCAGGCACCAAAAGTTTCGTTCAAGAAGCCCATTGGAAGTGTCAGCGTTTCTGGTCACAAGTTGGTGGGATGTCCAATGCCTTGTGGTGTTCAGATAACAAGGCTGGAGCACATTAATGCTCTTTCAAGGAATGTAGAATACCTAGCTTCGAGGGATGCGACAATCATGGGAAGCCGAAACGGTCATGCTCCTATTTTCTTATGGTACACGCTTAACAAAAAGGGTTACACAGGGTTCCAAAAAGAAGTCCAGAAGTGTCTTAGAAATGCTCACTACTTGAAGGGCCACCTCCGTGATGCTGGAATCAGTGCCATGCTGAATGAGCTAAGTAGCACGGTGGTGTTTGAGCGGCCTAAGGATGAAGAGTTTGTTCGTAAGTGGCAGTTGGCTTGCCAAGGAAATATTGCACATGTTGTGGTGATGCCGAGTGTCAGTATCGAAAAGTTGGACAATTTCTTAAACGAACTAGTTGAAAAGCGCTCAACTTGGTACGATGAGAAAGTTCAGCCTCCATGTCTTGCAGCTGATGTAGGAACTGAGAATTGTTCCTGCAGGCAGCACAAGTGATTAAAGTGTTTGCATTGAGCTATTGTATTGTAGTTTTGATTGAACTTCTGGATCTCGTAGATTGTAGTGTTTTGTTTCAAAGGGGTTCCTCCCCTGGCTCGTAGAACGCTTTACTAGTCATAGCGGATATGAAAATGAAATTCCTGTATCAGGGCATTGCTTTTATGTTGTTCAACCGTTACTTGACGCGTTAAGCAAGTGCTCTTTGTTGTGAAACCACTTTTTTAGGCACTAAAAAGAACTTCGGCATCTTTCCTCTGCTACATGTTGCATATAGTTCTTCAAGCTAGGCTACAGATTGGTTTCATGTTCATTACTTGGGTTTGACAGATTATCTTGCAGCATCAAATCTTATGGTAAGAAACAAAAGGCTGAGACTGCTGCATCAGTGTTTGCGTTTGCCTTTGCAGTGGGGGCGCTGCGCTGATCCAGTGGCGATTGACGGGACTTTTATAACCTATCCCGCTCCATGAACAGGGAAGCGGAATACCTACTATGGAGCTGGTCCTATATATTTAGACAAATCATATTCTTTGAAAGCATTGTAAAATTGCTTGTCTTTGTTAACTGTTAAGTGTTTGGATTAGATTTGCTTGGAACAACTTCCAATAGCTTCAAGGAAATACGATGTCTTTTTAAGTATTGCCTTGGTCATCCGTTAGCTCTTAAATTTTCGGTTCCTTTCCGTATTAAAAAAAGCCGGAATACATGTTATGATGGACTGACTGAGATGGGGAAGAGAGTTTTCCTTGACGTTGCATGTTTCTTTAGGGGAGAGTACAGGGAGCGACTGGTTGAAATACTAGAGTGCTATTTTTTCGACGCTCGTAGCCTGGTAGATGCTCTGGTTGAGAAATCTTTCTTAACTAATACCAATTACAACTACGCCGAGATGCATGATTTGATGCAAGATATGGGAAGGGAAAATTGTTCGTCAAGAGTCTCATTTCATTGGTGGAGATGTGCAGTCTGTTTTGGCGTCAGGAGGACATCATTTTACCATTTTATGTAGTATTTTTGTACAGTACTTGTAGCATATCAGATTATTCTAGTGTTGCGCCCAATGGCCTAATGTGCCTCCACATTACTCAATGTATTGTCTACGTATTTGGCTCGAGTGACGTAACAAGTGAAAATGAAACCTTGCATCAGTCTTTGAAAGGTCTTGGGCCTCTCTACCCATTACAAATTTATTTCGGATTGTATGCTCACATTCTAACGTGATATAACATTACCCGGCTCATGTCGTGCATTATTTAAAAGCCAAAAGGAAAGTATTTGAAATGGATGAACTAATCAACCAGAACAGCTTCTGGATATTGAAAGTTTGAGGCATTATTGCTATTGTAATCAGTGCCTTGGGATCCACGTTTTAAAGTCGCTCAGCTACAATTGGATACTTGTTTTTTGGCATCCTTACAAGTGTTGGCTGGACTGAATCATCCTTCTCCAGAGGACTCCACCTGCATTGGATGATTATATATTGTTATCCTATGCATCTTACTAATTGGATTGAAAGAGTTTTTTTGTGCTTCTTACTTGTATCTGCACACCAGATGATGAATGAACACTGAGATTTCAAGCTTTGCCAGGTTGAGTCCAGGGGCACATACGCTGTCCACTACCGAATCCAAGAAAGCTAAAAGGCTTTAGGGGTTGCTGCATTTTGTTTAAAAATTATTTAGCAATGTAATAGTTTCAGGAAGTTATCTATATCAACTACTGATTGGTTATATGGGAATGGACTTACATCAAACCGCGAGGGATCAAACTTTTGAGGATTGGGGAAGACTTCTGGGTCATGGTGAATGGAGACGACATCCAAATTGACAGACCAACCTTTCTCTATTTTGTATCCTGTAATGTGGATTCATGATTTAGAGCCACATATTCAAACTTGTACAGAGAACAATATGGCTGCTTTTGTAATCTGGTTTTTTGGAGTCAAAGTGTTGTACCATCAATCTCGAAATTCTGGGCAGCTTTTCTTGAATACCAAGGCAAAATAGTTGCTCTCCGAAGAGTTTCACTGATTACTTTCGCAGTGTAAGGCATGTTGTTAACTTCATCCCATGTTAGATTTGCTCCACTGTCTCGGTTTGCTTCGATTTTTTTGTGCTCATCCTGCAAATTTGACAACATTAAGTTTTTAGTCTTCGGCGGAAATCAAATATCAATCAAGCGATGCCTAGATGGCAAAGATACATTACCCTTAGTTGTTCCAGAACAGTAGGATTTTCTCCCAGGAATTTAATAAGCCATGTGAGCCCAGCAGTTGTAGTATCATGGCCTGCAACCAGCAGAGTTAATATGTTGTCCTTCAACTGTTGATCAGTGAGTTTATCTTTATTATCTTCATCCCCTTCTCCTTTGCTATGTTTGATAATCAGCGATTCTAAAAAATCTTGCTGAAAGCCACCTCTTCCACTTCTTCTTTTAGAAATGGTCGAGTCCAACATCGCATACATCCTATCCCGTGCCTGATAAAAGAGAACAATGTGTTCGAGATGAATCCAAAAATTTCCTTCCATCTTTCACAGTTACAAGTTGTAAAAAACTACATAAGAACTGATACCTGAATGCCGCTATGGAACGCTGTCCCAGGGATCTTAAATGGCAAGGATGCGAAGGAGGAAGAGATAAGTTTAAAATTTGACCGAAATTGCTCCTGCTCTTCACCAGCAGGCTCCAGACTCATGATCATATTGCCAATCACTTTGAGAGTGAACTGCAAAAATATTAAAGGTGAAATGATTATCAAACGGGCCTCAAGTCAAGAATGTAGAAAATAAAAATTTGCTCCTTCGCTTGGTAACTTGATACTAAACTGTAGAAGCCTCTTCAAGAACCAGTACAGTTCGTCCAGGCCATTGTTCTAGTGTTTCAATTGCCAGAGTATTGATGAACTGGAAATATTTTTTGAGGCCATCAACCGATAGGGGCTCTGCAATCAACCGCCTAAGGCGCTTGTGTTCTTCACCGGTTGTTTGGAGCAAGCTGGTAGGCCCTAGCACCTGCTGCCCGGTGTAGAATAGGTTTAAGCTAACCATCCCATCTCTTCCTGCTAACAAAATCTTGCTGGCTTCCCTCCCAGTCATGAACACAGTAAATCTCCCCAGCACAAAACTCTTGAAAACTTTTCCATACCTACATAAACACCAAGCTTAGTACTAACTGAAATATCACATATAGATTTCTTTCTGATATTTCGGAAAGAGCAAGTGATTTTCACACTCGTGTTTTCTCCTTCTGAATCCTCTCGTTGTTTCTGTCCCTTGATTCCCAAGGAAACAAAAAGAGTGAAAATCACTTCCCTTTCGGAAATTCATTTTCTCGTTACAGAATTCAAAAAATGTAATCGATTTACCTCTGCTGCCTCTTGTTCATGAAGCTGTATATGCCAGATGGACTTGAAAACTCCGAAATAAATGAGAAGCTCTCTCCCACAATAGGCCAACCCAAGCTGCCCGGGATATCCTTCATGCTTTTCGGTGACAAGGTCCAAGATTGCAGCACGAAAAAAGCCGAAAAGACAAAAATGGACAGCAATGCCAGGATGATCAAGATGAAGAGCGCCATTGCAAGTTTTGGCTAATCGAAAATTATCAGATGATCGTCTGTCTTCTGACTCTAATTACACTCTTAAATCATATTTTGCAATGAAAGATACTTTAACATGGCTCCCATTACTTGTAATTAGCGCCAGCATTTAAGTAAACGTTAGATGTTTGATGACCTCTTGTTTTAGCATTTTTGTTTCTTCCTTAAGTGGTACTTTAGGAAGGCCATTGTTTTTCTTCTTGTTCTTCTATTTTTCTATAATACGCTGATTATTATTTTTTTAATCAGGCTTCGTGCTAATCTATTTCTTAATTTAATCACTAATCCGTGACAATGGGACATAAAAAGAATCGGAAGTTTAATTTGTCTTCATTTGTGAGTGATGGTGAAAATTACAATGCCGGCCCTTGCTAGCTTATATGTATTATTCTTGCAAAATCTCCCTATCTTACTAAGACAATTATTTTATATTTGCGCTTGTATTTTGATTCAGTGTTGAGAGTATGGATTCCACATCGGCAAAATAAAAGATTTTACATGTACTTATAAGTAATTTGACTATTTTTCATATTGCCAATTGATTTTATGGTAAAACCTCAACTTTCTTCATAGTATCAGATCAAATTGTCCCACATGTGAAGCTCAATGGCCACACATGCTCCACAGTATCCAATTTGTGTTGTCTACGTGTTAAGCTTGAAATGTGTCACTCATGAAACAGGTGTGTTGAGTAGGAATCCCACATCAGAGAAGAAGGGATCTTACATGTACTTATAAGTAATTTGGCTACTTTTCATATTGATGATTGATTTTCTGGTGAACCTCAACTTTCTTTGTAGTATCAGAGCAGGTCATCTTGCATGTGAAGTCCACCAACGGCTACACGTGTTCTACGCCATCCAATTTGTGTTGTCTACATGTTAGACTTAAAAATTCGCCAATTGATTTTACGGTAAAACCTTCATTGAGGTAATGAAGAACGAAAAATCAGTAATTGATTTTATAGTGGAACCTTAATTGAGGCAATGAAGAACAAACTAGACACATCTTGTATGTCTAGTTAATTATTTGATTTGCTGTCATGTTTGATTAGTAATTTAATTAGCATATTAATTTGGACATAATAGATTAACGACTCAAAAATAAGGAGTCTGTTCTCGGTGACTACCCTTCGGATATGTTTATATGGGGCTCAGAAATTGGATTGCATCGGATTGGAGAGCGTAGCACTAATCTAATGGTTGAATAATTGAAAAATGCAACTATTTTGAGTTTCACTTTAAACATGGTTCAATTAAATCACAAGTCTTGGTGTCGAGCAAAATATCCGGGTAACTTGCGTCGGGTCACGAATCAAGCTCCCGATCTAGGTCTTGTGCCCATTTCACCGAGTGTCGGAGTTTCAGAGTTGGACTGATGTCTCCATTCAGTTCCCCGACATCAAAAGTTCTCTAACCAGGTCTTTTGATTTCGATGTCCCTAGTCCAAGTCTAGTGTTAAGTTCTCTAGGCTAGGTACTGAGCCCCGGAAGTCCCAGTCTGTCTCAGGTGTCTAAGATCATCTCCGAAGGAGATGTCAAATCCTATATAGAATTCTATGTAATCAAATTTGAAAGTAAGAGTGAACTCCAACCGATGTGTCAATCCTATGTGAATTGATATATGAGTTTTTATATGTCAAATTTGATATATGAGAAAATGTGATGTCAATGTTTTTTTTAATTATTTTATTATGTGGATCCTATTAATGCACCAATTATAGATCTCTTAATTGATTTCTTTTTAAAATGGGTCTTACATATATCATTCATAACAAAAAAATATATCGGTTGAAAAAAGAGAAAATCTAACATTGCCACATCAGCCATCAAATTAACATTTAACATTTATCTTTTGACATCTCCTTTGGAGATGCTCTAAGTTTCCTGTTCGAGTCCTGAACCTCCGAGTTCTTGACCCGAGTCAAGCTGAACCCTGGGATCTCTAATCCGAGTTCCGCGGTCTGGGTCCCAGGCGTGTATGTTACTGCGTCGTGACCTAAAGAGTTGGGATTCCTGGGCCTTGACTCGGCGATCAGGGTTCTAGTCTACGTCTAGGGCGAATGTCCAGTCCCGCACATTGAGCCACTGAGCCGAAACCTGTTCACCAACTACAAGTCTTGGGTTCGAGCCTTGAGGTCACGAGGTCGAAGTGGTTGGATTAATTATTTCCATTGTTTTGAATGGATTAGTTTTCCTAGGTAAACACAAATTTCTCTTCACTTTTGAGTACCAAATATAGGATCGATTTAACACTTATCCTACCTACCAAACAAAGCCAAAAGAAGTAGGAATGCCGGTCACAATAAGCCATGATAGATTCCCACTGATACTTCCACATTCATTCTTCTTCCCCCACTTTCTTGTCCTTTTGAGATTTGTACACAAGGTAAGTGCTGTACCTGGTCACTGCCACCTATGTTCTATATTATATAAGAAAAATGACTTGGATATATATGCTTTGATGAATCGAGATCCGGCAATCCGAAGCCGAAGGATTAAGTAATCTTGACCACTCATTTCAGATCTTACGGCCCCCATCAGTCCATCACATTGGCCACCTCACAAAAAATAAGGGTCCAGATCTCTCCCTCCATCTTTTGATCAACCCGGATTACAATGTTCCATCGGCTCTGGACTGTGAGATCAGGAGAGGATGTCAATTCATCCTTTGACATTCCTTAGATTGTGGGGTAGTGAAAGAGTAAAACTAAAAGGTTACCTTAAAAGAAGAGGAAAACTAAAAGAATAAGGACACTAAGCAAAAAACAGCAGCAGCAGAAGAAAACCCAAACAAGAAGAACCTTGCAGATAATCCAGACACATACTTCCGATTAGTATATACCAAACTACATAGACTACTTTCCCAAATTCCCAATTGAGAGAGTTCTTGGGCATGACAGACACATAGGTTACTCCAAAGTTATTCACGCAATGCATGCATCAGATAAAAATGAAATCATTGTGATGATAATCAAGTGGCTAAACAATTTCAAATTTTACTGACACACCGCAAATTTACAAACCATGCCCTGGTCTGTGCTGTATAGCATTTTGCTAACCATGTATTTACTGAAGCTCAAGCATTTAGATAGAACAAAGTACCTTTCACAGATTTACATATCTTTTTAGCTGCTACACTTGCTTCTCTTCATCCCGAATTTGTGAATACCTTCCACATAATTAGCCCCGTCACCTTCTCAAGGACCCAAGAACCTGTGGTTCACCACCGTCTTATTATTTTACAAACTACTGCACAAAGATGTTGGTAAATAACCCTTTTGCTCGATAATCGTCAAAATCTTATGTATCACTTTCATATCTCCCTTCTCTTTCAAGTACTCCAGAAATGCAGCCAAAGAAGAAAAATTACTCAACTTCCAGCAGGGTTCAAATGTAAAGTTGGCTGCCTTTTTCATTGCGTCCTCTCCTTTTAGACCATCTGTACGGTAACCATTGCCAAAAAACCTACTGCACCTGCATAACCTTTCCACTTTTCAATTTCCATGGCTGTGTATGCCTTTCACATCCGTTGTTAGTATAAAACACAGCATCTAAGTATCTTATACATTTTAATGTTGAAGTGTTCACGGATGTACATAATGATTAAATTGGAAAAGATCTTGAAGTTCTTTCTACTTGTTCAGCTGGTAAAAAGAAGAGCACTTTCACAAAGGTTTAATGAATTTTTACTAAAGATATTTTTGTGAACATCATGTGAAAAATGTGACTAAGTTGTTTGCTTGTTTAGTCAATTAAAACATAAAAATTAACATATCGGGGAAAATTAAACCTCTAGCCACTCTGCATGTGTGAGATTGAAACTTTCGGAAGTCCAAACATCACTTCCTACTACACTCTCTCACACATGAGGAGTGCATGTGGTCTAAGGGTGATTTTGGACTGCCAAAATCATCGCTTTTGCTATCGCATGTAACTAGCACCGACCGAGATTTTAACTGCAGTACACCATCAAAACGTAAAGTGAAACCAAATATAGTGTTTTAATGAGACTATCCTGGACTGATATAACAACCAGGAGCAAGGGTATATTGAGGGTTGAAGGTTTCAACAGAATAGAGCATAAACTGCAGAAGCATAGTATGCAGTTTCTATGTTTCAATATATAACGCACAGAACACCAAGCATAGTATCAAAGATTGTGCGACTAAGAAAAAGCATGCAAACAAATAAGCTGAGACATGACACAGAATTTCCTACACCACCATATTTGAGCATCGCATAAGGGCACTCAAAGAACAGGAGATCTACGGATTCTTGACATCCATGGAAAAGCACACCCATAAATAAGGAGAATTGACCAATTTCAATCTGTTGGCAAAAGCAACAACCAGATATACATGCAGCAAAAACAACAGCAGCCCAAACCACACAAACAAGAAACAAAACTAAGCCATTGTTAGCAAATAAGACTCGTACTACCAAGTTTTTTCAGCTTTTGCATTTTGTTTTTTTTTTTTTTTTTTTTTTTTTTTTTCAAAAATGAGATCTCCACATTGTTTTTCAAGATATTGCATTGGTAGATTTCAATCTAACATCATAAACGATGCCCTGGTAACCTGTCGTTCTTTATGTCACTTTTCTCAAGAAAATTACGTGTAATTTGAAGCTACCAATTACAGAGTCATCTGGAGCATTATGAAGATAAAACCATTGTAAAAAGATGCTATACTACAGATAAATACCTCTTCACAATGCTACATAAATATTTGTCTTCCACCCTTGTCGTTGACTTGTACTGTCCGTCTATTGCATCCCTCCATTCTGAACTTTATAAATTCGTTCCATATGATATCCCCCTTCACCTTACTCCAGAACAGCGAGGTCACCACCATCAAAATGATTTTCAATCCTATCACACAAATCTGTTGGAAGATGACCCCTTTCTCTCAATAATCCCAATATCTTATGTGCCACTTCCACATCTCCCTTCTCTTTCAAGTACTCAAAACATGCAGCCACAGTTAAATTATGGAACTTCCACCCTGGTTGACATGCCATGTTTGCTGCCATTTTCAATGATTCCACTGCCTCTGTCATCTGACCATTCGTACAGTATCCAGTAGCCAAAAGGGACCATGTTCTACAATCCTCCTTTCCTCCATCTGAAAGCTTGTTTGCCCATGATTTGGCCTTCTCCAACAGACCTTTCCCGCAGTAAGCATTGATCAGCAAGTTTGGTATTTGGATGTCAAAGGATTGGTTCCCAGATTCCCATTCCTCCAGAATCTTCTCGGCACCATCAAAGTCATCCATGTTCATCAACGAACTTAACATACACCGATACCCATTATTGTAGAATCCTACAATACTTTTGTACAATCCCCAAATTCGATAAACCTCATCCTTATTACCTATACCAGCATATGAAGTCATCAGGTATTCATATGCAATTTTCCTCGTTTTAATGTTGATGCGTTGCTCCGCTCTCCTCAGCAATGTCGATGTCTTCTCCAATAGTCCAACCTTCAAGAATGCTTCGGCTGCACTAACATAACCATGCCAGTCGACAGACACCAGAGGATCAGCTTCCATCTTCATCAAAAGCTTCTCCATTCGATCGATATCAGAAGTGGCAGCATAGGAAAATAACCGAATGTTCAACGTGTGAATGTTATAATCAACGCCTCTCTGTTCCATGTCCTTAACTAGAATATCTACCATTCCATGTTTACCCATTCGAGAATAAAGTTTCAGCATTGTATTATAAGGCAATGGCCCTCTTATACCCGAATGCTTCATCTTTTCGAAAAGAGCCTCGGCCTTTTCCAAGCAATTATGCTCTGCATAGCAGGACAAGAGAGCACCACACACCTGAACCACTCTCAATAACTCCGGGATGCTATAGAAATACTTCTCCGCTTCTTCGAGGCCACGGACCTTCGAAATCAACTCCAACCGAATTGCAATGTCTCCGGGATGCAGATCATGGTTCAGCTCATCGCTCATCCACTCTGAAATCTGCAGGGCTTGGGTGTAGCGACGGAATTTTCGGAGCTGCTTGATGAAATCTTGGAGTTCTGATCGCTCAACGTTTCTCCCTTCTTCCAGCCACTGATGGAGCACCGGCAGAATGGAAACCCTAGGGTTTCCGGACCGCAAAATCCTACGGCGCAGAGGCACAAATGGGTGTGGTGCGGAGGCAGAGACGGAGGCGGAAGCAGAGGCCAGCGCCTCAGTTGAGTTGAATAGCGTGCCGAAAACCCTAGAAATGGCATTGCCACGCCATGGATTCGAACCAATAAGCTTCATCTTTCAACCCTAATTAATTTCACAGAGAACTGTAACTTTGGGGTTTGACGCCTTTTTGTTCGAGGGGAGTGAACTTGAACGACAATTTAGGGTTTAGGGTTTTGAATTTCTTTCCCTTTTCTTCTTTTAGTTCTGAAGGAATTTTCATTGGAGCCCAAAAAATTGAACCAAGTAAAGTGATCCACAATATATTGGCAGCCCATTCACAGAAAACACACGAGAGAAAATGAGCTTTTGATCTCTAATTTTGGCATCTTTTTTATTTTTTATTTTGGCCATGACACTTCTTTTTCACCAAATTTTACTTTATCTCCTTTACTCTATGCTTGTTTGAAAATACCTTTAAAATGATTGAAAACGTTTTTTATGAAATTAATTTTAGGTTTCAAAAACATTTTCAGTGCTTTTTGGAAGAAGTATCATATAGTGCAAATGCCTTTTGGAAGTGCTTCTTGCGGAAAGCACTAAATATGTGCTTCTTGCGGAAAGCACTTAGAGTGTTTTTTCATGATTGATTTAGATTTTTGCTATGGACTGGTTTAAAAAATATTTTCACCAAAATCACTTTCAATCATTTTAAAAATAGTTCCAAATGAGTCTCATATTTACTCACTTTACCGTGTACACTCTTCCTCCATTCTTTCTCAATGTCTCACTTTACCTTATTTCTTCAAATAAGTTAAAAATAGCCGTTAATTATGCTAATGTGGCATGAATAATTTAGTATTTTCAACTGTGTTAGTAAGACCCATGATTGCAAGGATGTGGGTTAAACTCACACCAGTATTTGATTTCTCCGAACTAATAAAAATAAAGAAGAGGAAAGCTATAAAGGTAGACATTCTCATGACAAAACCCTAAGAATCTTTGCAAAAGGATTCGAAAACATTGAAATTAATTAGTGAATCTTGAAATTCAACCTTCTTTTCTTATATTTTCTTCTCTTGATCTGGAGGAATCAAATCCTAGTTTGAGTTTAACTCACCTCCCATTACCCATGAGTTACACTAACATGCCATGTCACATGCCACAAAACCAACATGGTTGAAAAGACTAAATTGTCCATTCCATATAAGCACAATTAACAACTATCTTAACTTATACAATGACATAGGGTAAACTGAGATATTGAAAAAGAGTACATGTGTTAAAGTGAGACAATATGGAGTGAAGCAAGTAAAGTGGGACACGAAAGAAGAGTTTAGATGGTAAAATGAGACAAAATAAAGAGTAAGAAGTAAAGTGAGATTTGGTGCAGGGTACAAGTGCCAGAACAAAAAATATGCCTTTTATTTTTTTTTAAGGTAATAATTCCTCATTTTCTTTTTCCTTCTACTTGTCACTTTTACTTTTACAAACAATAAAATATCTACATTAAACTACAGAGAGGGAATTCAAATGGAAGACCTCGACTTTAAAAGTGAATATGCTTAATAAATTGAGCTATAAGCCACTTGCCTTCTACTTGTCACTTTACTTTATCGTGCAAAATTGCAAATGTCATAATTAGAATTGATTATATTTTTTTGTTATCATCTCGAAAAAAAAAAAATCGGCTGTCATAATAACAAGTTACAACATCACAACGAATCATCAAATTTCTTTTAATTAATTGAAATTTCAAGAACGAGTTTGCAACGCTTCAAAACTCATGCAAGTTACATCGTCATACGCTGGTTACGTGACTGTTGTAAAGGTTGAACAAATACAGTGGCAAAATGAAGCCTCTGGTTCCAGCTCTATCTTATTATCCATCAGCCTTCTCGGTGTAAGGCTCTTCGACACTCCGGCATAACATCCTCAAAAACTCTTGTCCGGATCATAAAACTATCGCTCGAGAAGTAAGCAAGCTGCGCCTTGTTCGGTCATAAGGATAATCGAATACAATCCTAAGTAATATAAAAGGCTCGTGTGAGTTTCGTGCTCCTATTTTCGCATCAATAAACATTACTGCCAGTGCAAAACAGAACTACGAAACATTTATGTGAAGTGCATATGGAAGGTAATAAACACAAAACTGTCAATGCATAAAGTGAAACCACGAAAGCAGATTTAGAAGCACAACTTTTAAGCTTACTCACAATAGCTAGAGCATAATCTGCAGCTGGTAACCCTCACACAGTGCAGCCGCGACACCACCAAAACAAGAAACACTACCCTTCAGACATAACACATATTTGGCTGCTACCACATTGTTGAGCTAAACTGTCGAATCCATCCCGTGATCCTGAACTTTATCAATGCTTTCCATAGGAGGTTCACCACCATCAATATAACTTCCAATTTTATCAAACAAATCTGTTGGAAGATGACCCATTTCTCTGAATAATCTCAATAATTCATGTGCTGCTTCCACATCCCCCTTCTCTTTCAAGTAATTGAAACATGCAGACAGAGTTGAACAATCAAACGTCCACCCTGGTCGACATGCCAAGCTTGCTGCCGTTTTCAATGTTTCCACTGCCTCTGCCATCTGACCATTCATATGATATCCAGTAGCCAATATGCCCCAAGTTCTACAATCCTCCTTCCCACCTCTCTGAAAGCTTCTCTGTGTATGATCTGGCCTTCTCCAAAAGGCCTTTCTTGCCGTAAGCATTGATCAACAAGTTGGGTATTTGAATGTCAAATAGTTTGTTTCCACATTCCCATTCCTCCACAATTTTTTCAGCACCTTCAATGTCATCCAACTTCACCAACGAACTTATCATACAGCGATACCCACTATTGTAGAATCCTACGACATCTTTGTACAATCCCCAAATTCGATAAACCTCATGCTTATTACCAACAGCAGCATGTGAAGTCATTAAAAATTCGTAACCAGACTTTCTTGTTTTACTTGTAATGAGTCGCTCTGATTTCCTCAGCAATGCCCATGTCTTGTCCAACTGTCCAGCCTTCAAGAACGCGTCCGCTGCAACAGCATAAGCATGCCAGTCCACAATAACAGTCGGATCAGCTTCCATCTTCATCAAAAGCTTCTCCATCCGGTCTACATCCGAAATGGCTGCATACGAATGCAACCGGTTGTTCAACGTCCTAATATCATACTCAATGCCCTTCTCCTCCATCTCGTTCACTAAAACATCAACCTTTCGATGTTTTCCCACCTCAGAATACAGATTCGTCATCACATTATAAGTAAATGGCCCTTTCACAAACCCCAAATCCTCATCTTTTCGAAAAGAGCCTCGGCTTTTTCCAAACATTTATGCTTTGCATAGCTGACCAAGAGAGAACCATACACATTAACAACTCTTAATTCATTCGGAATGCAATCGAAATACCTCTCGGCTCGTCCGATTCCGTGGACTCTCGAGATCAAATCCAGCCGAATCGCAACGTCTGCAGGGTGCAAATCGAAATTCATTTCATCTCCCATCCACTCTGAAATCTCCAGGCGAGGTTGTAGCAGCGGGACCGGCGGAGCTTACTGATGAAATCTCGGAGCTCTGATTGCTCCACGTCTCTCCCTTCTTTCAGCCATTGATGGAGTACTGGGAGAACGGAAACCCTTGGGCCTTTATTGAACAGAATCCTATGGTGTAGAGGCTGAAATGTGGGAGATGTGGTGGAGGAGGAGGAGGAGTTCAGAGTACTGGTTGAGTAGGTCAGGGAACCAAAAACCCTAGAAATGGCAGTGTCACTGCCATGGATTTGAACGGAGAAGCTTCATCGCCGAACGCTAATTAATTGCCGAGAGAATTAAACAGAATGTTTAGGATTCAAACTTCTCTTATTTTATTTTGAGAACTTCAAAAAAATAAATTTTGAAGAAAATTATAATCTTTTTGGGGATTTGAAGATGACTTCCTAGAAGCCCAAAAGAACCGCACAAAACAAGTAAAATATGGCCCATAACAATAATTTAGAGTAGTTGTTTTGAATTCGAAACGTATTAGTAAAAACTCCACGTCTTATTCATTAGAATACTGTATTACATGTAAAATTTAATAAAATAAAAGAGAATGATTGACAAAAATATGATGAGGTGCAAAAGAAAAAAGTGAGAGTGTGAGCATCACCGCCAATCCGTAAAACACAAGCAAACCAAAATGATCGTAAAAATAATGTTGAACTATGCAAAACTTGTTAATTTGGTCTCCCAATCTCAAAATCACTTCATGCCATCCTCGTTTCTTGTACCACACATTCCGCTCCATTTTGCAGAAAAGTTCGTAGATGGCCACTAAAATGGTAGGATCACATCAACATTGATGTGCGTTTGAAAAAAAAAAATTTGGTAACATGTCACACACATTATCAATTTTGACAAAGTTCAGTACAATGATGACATTAGAAACCACATTGAGAATGAGAATGAGAATAACATTGAGGTCCCCTTAGATTATGTGACAAAATTGAGAAAGAAACTTGGACATAATATGTCAAAATTGATATTTTCAATTCTTGATATGATAAATTTCCAGGAAAAAAAATTTGAATGTGATGTTATTGTAGGTATATTGAGTTTCCCCCATTTTTCCAACACGAAGACCATCTCCAATGGTTGGGCTAAAAGCCAAATATTTTAGCCCGGAAAATTTAGCTTTTAGCCCAGAAACAGTTTTTCTACTCCAACCGTTCTAGCCTAAAATTTTAGCTCGGGATTATTAAAAAATGAATTTAGGCTATTTTTTTTTGTTAAATTAATTTTTTTAAAAAAATAAATATGTAGACTATCGTAAATTAAATTTATGAACATTTTAATCAAAAAAATTTAAATTCCGATAAATATTGGATGGAGTCCACTCCGATTTATTGGCTAAATTTTGGGGGGAATTTGGCCTTGGTTTAGCATTTAGCATTTAGCCCAAAATTTTCCTCTTAGGTTGGAGTAGGTTTAGCGGGAAATTTTGAAGAGTAATTTGGTTTTTAGCCCACCATTGAAGTTAGTCTAATTAGTATATATTACATATCTTTTCTTGTACTTACTAAATACGAGAAAGAAATTGATTTCTCATTTTTAAGCCCATTCTTTGTCCTGGTAGTACGATTTCAGTTCACACACACAAAAAAAAAAAAAAAAAAAAAAAAAAAACAGCCCCGGCTCTTTAAAATTTGAGGGATTAAATTGTTATTTTATTGGGCACTACTGTGAAAAATCCTCAATTTAACTCAACCCAAATCCAACTAGTAACAAACTGCGTAGTGGGTTACCTAAACTGATAGAGCTGGGCTTAAATACCTTTAGCCCGCACCATGGCTTAAAAGGATTGAACTTGCAAAAGTGGGCATGAGCATGATTATTTTTTGACATTATGGTAAAATGTCATCAAATTTATTTAAAAGATTAGTGCACCGTTCAAGGTAACATAACAACATTAATTTGGAAACCAAAAAGAAGAATTTATTCAAGGGGGAAATGAGAGATATTTTGTTCTACTACAGAGAATTATTTTATTTTTGCATTTAAAAGAATTTACATGATACATCAGTACAATCATTTTTAGGATTCCTAAGAATGCATTTATCCTTTATGTATGAAAAATAAATAAATAATAAAAGAAAGTGCTAGAATCTACATGTACACATTGGTTTTTTTCGTGATTTTTGTTGAAATGTATGCATCAAAAGGTGCATGTACGGTTTCTAAGGGATACAACTTTATCCCAATCAACCGACTTTAACGAGAAAGATTACTTTTAGGCCAAGGGGTTGATAGCAAGATCTCGAATCAACTTATTGGTCTTATGCTATATCTCAGTATAGAAGATGAAATAAATCAAAAATGAATTTTTGTTCAAGAATGAAATCTTATTGGAACTGTCAATATCCAATTCATCATTCGGAACCATATCACATGCATATTACATATTATCTAGTCTATTTATTGTGCAATATTTTTGTCAATATAAGCGGCATTTTAACCACTAGAGTAATTCACCTACTTATTTTTTATTTTAAGTTATGCAAAGAATAGTGTGCGGAAAGAAATCAAACCTAGAACCTCGGTTGAGAGGAACATAACTAGTACTATATTATATACGATAACATAATGAGTGACTAGTCTATGTATGATTTTTGTATATAATAATAGTAATAATTGTTTTCTTGTATAGTAATTTACGTACATTATACAATATACTTAGTTGTATAATTGGAATTTTGTTAATGAAATATAGAAGAAGGTTTGAACATGTAACCCTTACCTAACTTGCATGTGATATTTCTCCTTCTCCATCATTATTAGTGGACTTGGTACATATGACAACGACACAAATCATTCTTTAGTCATCAACTAACACGAAATAATTTATTTCTTTGACAAGAAGCACCATTATCGTTATCCTTCTTTTTATCACACAACAAAGTGCCCTTATTTTCTACCCTCCACTCATACATGGAGAAATTCTTAGGTCCGACAGTCTCCGTCAGCAATACAACCAAACCCAAAACCCTCCATCCGCGTTTATGGCCCACCCGCCCCACCCTTGTCTCCCACCGCCACTCTCGGACGCAGTCCACCCGGGCGAAGAGAAGGATTGCTCCATACATAAGGTGTTTTTGTTCCATCCCAGCGGCGGTATCCAAACAAATTGTACGTCATAATGTGGTTGGTTTGGATACGGCAACTGTGGCACCCTATGTACAGGAAATTTTTTCTAAAGAGGCGACGAAATGGGATAAGACTCACCACTTGTAAGCATATCGACAAGCTTAAAAAGTGGACCAACACAACATTTGCTTGTTCGATAAGTACAACATTTGCTTGAATCAACCATAACAGAAGGAAGACAGATTGACATTGCTTGGCAAAGGGGACCAACACAACATTTGATGTTATAAACTTATAAGCAATGCATAACCAACTGTTTAAACCCTAGAGGTTGCTTGTTCGATAAGTACAACGACGGTAAAAAGGTGTTCCTGTAAGTTTTGGACTCTAAGATGATATTCTAATCCGCCAGAAATAATAACATAAGAGTAGATCTGTAGTTTTTAATTAACTGATACAGGGTACTGTGGGGTTCTGTGTGTACTGGTGAGCAGCAATCTTCACAGCCTTCAGTCCTGTACCACATACATATACATTACCTGTATGTATGTAGTCTGTACAAGAAGCTATCTGATGAGATTTATTACCTCTTCTAATTCAAAAAACATTATGAAATACCTAAACTGTGGTTAATGACTTCAGCGAGAGTTTCTATGCCCTCCCGTTGAAGTCCATAAAGCTCGGGTGAGCCTGCCCATTGGCGACATTCTGGTTGTGATGCTGCTGGTGCTGGTTCTGCTGGTTGTGGTTCTGGTGGTGCTGGGTCTGACCATATTGAGGGGGAAGCCCTCGGTAAAAAGGGTTTCCATTCCCAGCCCCGGGTGGGATTTGGTTGGTTTCAATCTTAAGCCGCTGCACTTCCTCCTTAAGTTTCTCATTCAAAGCTGTAGGTGTAAAATAAAGCAAACGGAAACTATAACATAATTTTAAAAGAACTAATGGTTAAAATTTAGCACAAACTTATGAAATGAGATTCATACCATCTCTAAGCTGTGCTTGTTGCTCCAGAGCCTGTAGGCGAAGTTTGAGCTCCTTATTCTCAGCAGTTATGACAGTAGTGTCTCTCTGCACAATAGATAAGTTGTGTAAGCACAACAAGAACGTTTTGTATTGTGATTGTAACCTTTGCTTTATTTACCTTTCTAGTTAATTTTTTGTGGCGACTCCAACATCCAACTAACATAATAATTGGGGAAGACACAACATGAAAAACTCTGGTTTTAAGGTTGTACAGGTAAACTACTAAAGCTTGTGAAGAAATCAAATCTCTTATGACCATGACTATTTACAGAAACAAGGGCTGAAGTAGGAATACAATAAGAGGCTATTACCAGAAACATTGAACACCTAACATTAACAACCAACCAATATTTAAAGGGCAGAGACATGGAATATGCAGTCATGTAGCATGTCCAAAGTGTTTGCAAATTAAAGTAGATATAAATAGTTTCCATAACCAAAGAATACAGGACATGTAAATACTAAATAATAGAGACGATGTAAAATGCAAGACACCTACTTTGACATGTAAATACTAAATAATAGAGACGATGTAAAATGCAAGACACCTACTTTTCTACACATGGAAAACTAAGCAATAACAGATACAAATTTCCATCATTTAGACAGCCGCACAAACACGCATATCATTTACTGCATCTTCAGGAACCATGGTGACAATGGCTAATTTGTTGAAGAATATATAATTCAAGAAAATGTCAAATTTGAGTATCTTGGTTTGTACCCTTTCTCCCTGCTAAATCGACCAATAAGGATGCCGAGATATTGTTAGGTGTTAAACTAAAAACATTCGCCTATATTTAGGGAAAAAGAAAAAAAAAATTACTTTGATATCGGATCTGACACTTAGAGAAAAATCCTAAACTGAGACATCTGAATTACCTGAATTACGTGCTATACAAACTTGCTGTGTTTTCCAAGGACACATGCTATAAGTTAAGACTAGGGTCACACAACAAAGTCCCTTTAAAAACAGCATGGTTTTAAACTCTGCCAAAAAGCAAGGGTCCAAAACCAGACAACGGCCCTTAAAATGCTGTTCAACTGTGGCAAACTTGTTTGATTTCTTCCCAATCAAACAAATTAAGAAAAACATCCCAAGACATCTACGAGGGCTCAAGTGTCATTGTAACTTATGACTTTTCAATTCTCCTCGGCTAGTATGCATCTATTACTGTATTCATGGACATGGAGGCTGTGGGGCAGGTGTTGAGGGTTTGGACTCAAGTTCTTGGGGTTGTTTAAGTAGCTGCCCAGGTTTAAACTTTAAAGTAAAGTATTTGTTGTAGGTTATAACACCGTTTTCCCTTAATAATGTCTCTCTATTTACATCCTTCTAAATATGTAGCCGGTTCCATTTTGGATACACCAAAATATAATGCAATCAGAAGCAGACACCCAAAAAGAGAGAAAACACAAAAAAATTAACAACCACAGCAACGGCATACACAAATAGTTAGAATGTAATGGTGGTTTCTGTAGGTGATTATTCGCACCATGAACACATGATTTAAAAAAAAACGTTTCTTTGCATGTTAGGATCAAGCATGTCAAGCTTAGGGTTTATTGGAAAGATAATTACATGGAAGCATGCAATGACGCAGATTTTGACATAAGCAAATTATCACCACTGAAACCCAAAGAACACACATTATTAATGTGTACAGTGTACACTTCCTTCCTGGGTTGTCAATGTAAGTTCAAAATGTCACATCCCAGCCCGGGGGGGAATACTTCCCAGGCCCGCTCCACCACCGTAGCATGATATTGTCCGCTTTGGGCCCCGACCACGCCCTCACGGTTTTGTTTTTGGGAACTCACACGAGAACTTCCCGATGGATCACCCATCCTGGGAATGCTCTCGCGCGCTACTCGCTTAACTTCGGAGTTCCTATAGAATCCGAAGCCAGTGAGCTCCCAAAAGGCCTCGTGCTAGGTAGGGATGGGAATATACATTTAAGGATCACTCCCCTGGGCGATGTGGGATGTCACAATCCACCCCCCCTTAGGGGCCCGACGTTCTCGTCGGCACACCACGACCAGGGTTAGGCTCTGATACAAAATCATACCAAAATAAGGATCAGTCAAAGTTAAACTATCACTTAAACAAAGCACATTCTAAAAACAATAACGGCACATTTTTGTATCCTGGATCATTCCAAAATCACACCAAAACATTATCAAATCAACCATGCACCCAAACCAAACCACGGACACCAATAAACAATGAAAATAACTTCATGGCAAAAATAGCAAAGCAGAAAATACCATTTTTGCAATGACCATGCATAAAATATCCGTTAAGCCAAGCTGTGGGATCCATTGGTTTAGCGCGTAGTACTGAAAAAGTCTTGCCCAAATGATACTTCTAATTCTACAAAGCTACAAAAGTCAAGGTCTTAGGTATTATACCTGTAACAGAGTGACCTGCGCGGAGAGGGTGGTTGCCTCCGTCTGAAGCGTCTGCACCTTCCTCTCCAGCTCATTCGTATACCTCACCTTCCTCTCCTTTGACCTCGCAGCCGATTGCCTATTAGCCAATATCCTACAAAACCAAATAATTATAAAGCATCAATTTCTCATTTAATCAAATAATATCTACAAAAATAGTCCATAAATTCAACAAACACACACAAATAAAAATAATACTTGAATAATCTTTCCTTTCCCAACACAAACTTCAACCACAAAATTTAAGCAAATGTCATTTCTAACAAAAAATTTGGAGAATAGAAATACCAATTTATTTACGATAATTACAAAATAATTCAATTGCAAGCAATTTAATCGAAATTTGCAGAGTAAAAAAACAACAGAAAGCAAAAACATGATCCACTAAAGGAAAAGGGGCAACCTTTTGGCTCTCTTAGGGTCAATCAGAGAGAGCTCAGCAAGTCTCTCAGGAGCAACGGACTTCTTGAAGCCATTCAGCGTCATCACCGACGAGTCCGCATCGAAAGACGAGCCGTCTATCGAGCTACTGTGCCTGTGGTGGGGCCCAGACCTCTGCCCCCCGCTCACTTCCCTGGCGGAATCCCCCAGGCCCAGGCCGTCGAAGAAGTCGGAATCGACGGAGAGGCTCCGGAGGTGGGCAGCGGTGGCGGTGGAGCCGGAGGAAGCGGCGGGCTTGGGGGTGGAGGAGAAGGGATTGGGTGGTTGGCCCTCCGAGGAGTCGTCGGAGTCGAGGGACATGGGGATGTTGTTGTTGTTGCTGCTGTTGCCGCCACGTGGCAGGAGGGTTGGGGAGGGGAGACAGGAGAGGTCGAGGTCGGAAGGGTCGAAGAGGAGGAGGTCGTCGAAGTTGGGGATGCGGAAGGAGGTGTCGGAGTGGGCCCGGCGGTGGTGAGACCCGCGCTGAGGGGTCTCCGACATCTGCTCCATGTCAGTCGATGATGTCGGGGAGGGTCTGGAAGCAGCGCCGAAGTTGTTGATGTTGTTCGAATCCATTTTTTTGTCTTTTGGTCGTTTTTTTCGGTTGGTGGTAGCGAGTGGTGGCGGAGGGCGGTTGCCGGAGTTCAGGTTGTTGAAAGCAAAGGAGGAGAAGGGAGAAGGTTGGTAAAAGTGAGGAAAGTGCTTTTGGTTTTGGTTTTGGGTAGTAGGGTGGACTTGGAGAAGCTGCAGCTGCTGAGTAGCAAGTGGAGAGAAGGGGGGCCATTTTGGTTGTATTTATATCACAAACGCGATGCATGTGGTCTAGTTTGAGAAAGAAGTTGAAGTTGTGTGCTTGAACTGCAAATATTTGTAACTTTTTTTGTGCTTTTGAATTTTATTTTTTACCATTATTATTCTCATTATACAAAGGAACGCTCTCTTGATAATATATGAACTATATTCTACTTCAAACTAATTTAAATTTCATGAAAGAAGAATTTAGACGCAGAAAAACTACATCTGTTAAAGTAAATGTGACTACGTTTACGTTGCAATACTAACAGTTTGAGTGAAACAAAAAGCTACCATGTGGAGTGAGCAATGCATAATCCTTTAATTAACACTATTTGTTGAACGGTAAGTTAAACTCTATCCTTTTAAGAGAAATGCGTTATATTCATCAAATCGGTAAAAAGAGACATCGTACAAGAGGATACAATACAAATAGTAGGTTTGGGTATAACAACTTGTCGGAAAAAACATCATACACCAAAACTAAGCATAAGAGTTATCCCATAATAAAAGTAAATCCTCAATCAATTGGGTGGTTTTTCAGATCAATGTTGCAAGTTTTATTAACTTCAGAGATCTTGATTAACGAACTTTTGATCGAGTGACCAATTCCAAGCTAGAGTAAAAATTGAGGGACTAAATCTAAATTTTTCTTCCATGAAATGAATGTTAGGTTAAAAGCATCCTAGTGTAGATAAGCATTCCATACGAAATCTCCCTTGAATAGCTTTCCATTCTTGCATAATTACTTTCTCAATAACTTCCAAACTCTTGTCCATTAGGGATTTGGTTGAATAGCTTTCCATTCTTTTATAATTACTCTTAATAAATTCCAAACTCTTCCCATAAGGGATTTGGGTTGAATAGATTTCCCTTCTTGGGATAATCCTACTTGATTAGGTTATAATTGCTATTGGGACAACCTTTCCATCCTTGAAGATAAATTAAGAACTTATATTACAAGATACTTTAGAACATCATGGAAACAATAATCCTTACTTAAAATATCACAATTATTTAATTATTGGCCAAAGGAGACAAATCAATAAATGGACAATTTTAAGCCCAAATACATCGAATCCAAGCATTTAAAATTTCAGTCCATACTCTTACTTAACCCAAAAGAGATGCAAAAGGAATAAAAATGATTCTACTAAAATATCAGCCAAAACATCTAATTAGAAAACGAATAAATTATTTACACAATAATTTATTTCATTTTGGATTGTAAGGCCTTTAACTAAATTATAATTTATTTTTTGGGTTTTGGTTGCATGCAATTTGAGTAGTTTGCTAGTATAGTAATTTGTTATCCTAAATTTCAACGGATAATGAACTCTAACTTGTGCCAATTTTTGGAAGCGAAGTGGTAAACACCTGGATCCGGATATCCAGGAGCATACCCAAAATTGAAGTGTGCTAACCGATTATGTGTAAAAAGTATGAATAAATATTTAAAACCAAAGTCTAATACTAATTAAAACTAAGAGTGAGAATGCGCGCAGTGCGGATGAACCCGTATTATAGAGTATGTAATGTCAAAGCATAACGCAAGTATAGTAAATGTAACATCCTACATCGCCCAAGGGAGTGGAACTTGTTAGCCTTATATGCATATTCCCATCTCTACCTAGCACGAGGCTTTTTGGGAGCTCATTGGCTTTGGGTTCGGTAGGAACTCCGAAGTTAAGCGAGTTCGTGCGAGAGCAATCCCAGGATGGGTGACCCATTAAGAAGTTCTCGTGTGAGTTCCCAAAAACAAAACTGTGAGGGTGTGGTAGGGGCCCAAAGCAGACAATATCATGCTACGGTGGAGTCGAGCCCGAGATGTGACAATTTGGTATCAAAGCCAATCCCTGGCCGGAAGTGTGCCGACGAGGACATTGGGCCCCTAAGGGGGTGGATAGTAACATCTCACATTGCCCAGGGGAGTGGATCTTGTAAGCCTTATATGTATATTCTCATCTTTACCTAGCACGAGGCCTTTTGGGAGCTCATTGGCTTCGGGTTCCGTAAGAACTCCGAAGTTAAGTGAGTTCGTGCGAGAGCAATCCTAGGATGGGTGACCCATTAGGAAGTTCTTGTTTGAGTTCCCAGAAACAAAATTGTGAGGGTGTGGTAGGGGCCCAAAACGAACAATATCGTGCTACGGTGGAGTCGAGCCCGGGATGTGACAATTATCCGATGCATTGACTCATTGACCCGACCCCGTTGATTGTTGACCATCAATGTTGACTTGGGTTGACTTTTTTGGACTTTGACCAGGTCCTCTCCAATTCAGTAGATTGTTCGTTTTGGGCTCCTACCACACCCTTACGGTTTTGTTTCTAGGAACTCACACGAGAACTTCCCAGTGGGTCACCCATTCTAGGATTGCTCTCGCGCGAACTCGTTTAACTTTGGAGTTCCTACGGAACCCGAAGTCAGTAAGCTCCCAAAAGGCCTCGTGCTAGGTAAAGATGAAAATATACATATAAGGCTTACAAGATCTACTCCCTTGGGCGATGTGGGATGTTACAGTAAAAGTGAGAGTATTCACATCCTAGGTAGAATGGATAATGCTACAAACTATAGGAATAAGAATTCCTACATTGATTGGTGTGAATGTCAGAACCGCTGGAGAACCCTCACTCGCCGCAGAAATCTAGCCATAGAAGACTTGGAGGGGCGTAAAATAGAAAGTTGCGAGTGGGTAAAAAAAAGGGGTTTAATAAAACTTTTGTCTTCCATAAATACTAACCTCTCGATGTAAAACCTATATAGTTTTCAAAATTCATACTACGTATGGTATGAAAAACAAGTACTGTATGAAACAATAATTGTAAAGTTATGATAAACACAAGATCTCAACAATATAACATATACTACCAAATGTTCATCTATATACGATGATATACAAGCTAATGTAGGGATATTCTGACATGAAACAAGCTGGGTGTAATAAAGATCTAAACTATACTGCATTACAAGTGAAGTCGGTGCAAAGCGTGTCACATACAACTACAAGACATAACTGCCTAAAGCAGACTAGTATTTCTCTTAAATATCAACTAATTGTTTGTCGTCCTTTCATGCGTGCGAGAGCAAAGCTCATCTTTACGATGCCTTGAAGTAGATCCAACTAGCTGATTATTTATGTCACAAGGTGTAAGTTGGCTCTAACTAGCTGGCCTCACTAATTAAGCCTGTTTTTACTAGAAGCAGAGGTTGTGTTACTTTCCCATATTTTGTATTCGGACGATTCGTTTTTTGTACAAGTGATGATGTCTATCCGTAATCTGCAAAGTTTTCTAGACAATGACAGTTGGGTCTCTAGTCAATTTATTTACTCCGACTACAAGATGTTTAGACACTACTGGCATATTTTGCATCCAACTTGAGTCAAGCTTTTCAAGCTCAAAACGCATTTTCGAGTTCAAGTCTTCCTGCTGCGGCCTTGTTTGAATTGAAGAAGATTACTCATAGAGAAAATTCATAATCAATTAAGCCAAACAGTTGCAGCTCATTTCGAATCATGCTACATTTTTCTTAGCAATCCAAATTAAATACAATTTGGTAAACGTAATCAAGGTGAGTTGATTTCAGCAAAGTTTGGGGTTAAAACTCTTTAATCATGATCATTATCATGATTATCAATCATATACTGATATACATATACATATATGTTTATGTATAGTTCTCAGTCAATTAGTCAGCAGACAACAGCCAGATTCTGATACCTTTGGCCAGCAACAGCTTCTTTCATGGTTTCGCCCTACGCCACAACGCACATTGGTTTGATCAGATTCCAAAACAGCAGGAGCCATTCTTCCGAGCTGTGCAATTTTAAGAACAGAGATGATTTGATCTTTCACTTGTTTCAGACTTTCGGTTTCATTCTAAAACTAAAAGAAAAGGGGAAGAAAATAGTTTTTAAAAACAGGAAGAAAAGTATTGTTACCTTTTCAAGTACCGTTTGAAGGAATTGGATGGTTAACTGGGCGTAAGACAGTCATATTTCAACCCTTTTTGGAGTGATTCGTTGGAAGGGATAGATGAGCTTTCACTCGATCCTGCCCCATATAAATGTTCAGTTATTTTCTCCATGCTGATCGAACTTTGCACATGTGCTGAGTTGTCGATAGGCTTGTAAAGAGAACGACTTTTGATGGGGTTGTTGAGGTCTTGTGCATCTTGTTCATTCACCAACCGCACCCCACACTTCTTAGCTTCAAACATTTTTTGGTTTCTTCCCTCGAACAAAAGGTCTTGAATGAAAACTCAAATTTACGAAAATCACCTTTCCAGTAATTATTAGGATCATAGCCCTTAAAGCAAAGATAAAGTAACCAAAGGTGATCTGACTGAACCTGGCCGGCTTTGTAATAAATCCCTTTCACAAGCAAAGATGTTTTCGATCCGTCAATGTTGGGAAAAACTTTAGAGTATACAACTCTAACACAAGTGTTGGAGAGACAACACAAGTGAACAAATTACTTGTATTACACAAACAAAATATTACAACACTCTCAAAGGACACTCTTAAGAACAATGACACTCACTCACTTTCTAGAGACAAACTCTAGAGCACTCACACTCTTACAAGACTACTTACAAGGCTTCCCACTCTCTTACTTAGCTCTTCTTAATTGATTGGTTGCTTGTTGATTTCTTGATACAAATGGTGTGGATGCCTTCTCCTTTTATAGGCATGGATGGAACCTTGGAGAAGCATGGACACACCATGCTAGAAATATCTAGATAATTCCACTAACTTCCTAAGCTAGAATTATCTACACTAATCTTGCATGTTGGTGGAAACCTCACCATTCTTCTAGACTCTTCCACCAACTTAAGAAACAACATTCTAGTCATTTCTACAAAGGACTACTTTAACATGGATAATCTAGCAAACCAACCTTAGTGAATGTTCTAAAATTCTTTATTCTAGATTTGTGTAGGTCCTTTAATGAGATGGGGTTGATTTCTTTAACAATCAGCTCTCGAAAAACATTTAATTCCACATGC